GGATAACATCAGTCCCGCTTTTTCATTTCATAGATCTGGCAACCCTGCTTTAGGCTGAAGACACAATGACAAATACAAGAGGTACCATCCTCACCAAAAGTAACTGGGACAGCATCACATTAGCTCTTGTCCTATTATATAAATTTTATTGTCAAATATTTGTCAAACTATGATTTAAATGCATTGAAATGACTGACAGTATAGAATTAGTCCAGGAGATTATTATGCATTATTTGTGTCCCAGATACTTTTGGTGACGATGGTACAAGAGACAGATATAAAATACCAAAAAATTGAAATTCTGTATCATAGCATGGCAAGTAAATTGTATCCTGTATCCAGTTATTCTGTGTTATAGCATTGATACACGTGTTTTTATATTTTGTCTTTTGTCACTTATACCTTGTATTTGTCATTGTGTCTTCGGTCTTAGTTGAGTTCGGAATGGGATTAAGTGCAGTGCTAGTGCGGTGTTCGTGTAGTGCAGTGTTATATATATCACGTGATGAAGGTGTAATTAGCGGTGTAACACCGAATACACCATCATTTTGTACCGAGTAAACGGTGTCCCACCATCTTCATACCATTCGAACACCAAATTATTTCCAAATGCAAAAAAGTGTACACGAAACACTCCTACCAATTGACCTTTTGTTTGGACGCCATATTGCGGTGCGCGAACATAGTTGCCAACAGTAGAAAAAAAAATTATTAGCGTTCTGTCAACTTTAAAATCTAAAGTTAATGAATAAATTACATTTAAAATTTAAATTTACCGCCTATTACGAATGTTTTTGGAAAGAAAAACCATCAATTTTAACTTGTATTGAGCAGAATATAAATAATAAAATATCTAGTTGACAGCCCGCTAGTAATTTTTGGTTTTCTTGTTTTGGCAACTATGTTCGCGCACTGCAATATGGCGTCAAAACAAAAGGTCAATTAACAAACGCCATAAGTGTGAAGTGTCAATAGTGTCGACACTTTCTACCATTCCGAACTCATCTTTTATTGGTCAGGATTTTTGACATGACAGTTTGACATTAAAGTTCATTGACAAAATTAAAGAAAAATAGTGCTAATGGCCGTTGCCACCAACTATTTTAGGGGGCTCTTAACGATAAGTATTCCTTAAAATGACAGTTTTCCATGGAGAAATATCAGTTTAGGGCATACTTATCGTTAAGGCTCCCCTAAAATAGTTGGTTGAAATGGCCATAAGACATACGTTTAAAACACCATAGCAATCTTCGATTTTTTTTTTGGAGACCCGATATTTTATTGGTCACGCGTAATTTTTTTTTCATTAAAGTGACTCTATTACCACAATGGCGACAATAGGGATGTTCACAAAATAAAAAAATCCCGTTTAACAATCATCAAATTATTAAAGCATCGTTTCTTAAGTAAATCTATAAAATTTTAAGAAAATCAGAAAATTCTTTCTATGAGAAAAACGAAGATGAAATATCAATATTCACTTAAAAGCAAGACACGCTCTCTGACGTCATAGTGCGTAACGAGTTAGCGCGCGCAAGTACAGTGGCGCTACTTTCTACTTGGATCAGCCTTTTGTGACGTTGCTTTTGCGATTTTTGTTGACAATAAAAAATATTAATATTATTATTACTATTAGTGTCTTTTTCTTTCATATGCATTTAGATAAAGATACTGATGAACTAATTGGTGATTGAATGTTAGGAAGCACCCTGAGTAGTGAACTCTATTAATTGTCCAAATACTTTTTGCAATGAGCGGAAGAGAGACAAATACATTGGAGGCAATCATTATATCGTAAATAGTTGCAGATAAAATGTCAATATAAGTACATTCCTTAAACCTTATTCTATGGATTGGTCACCTAATTCGAATTTTGATTATTCCCGGCTTTTGATTCGCTCCAAATTATACGCTATTCAATAGAATTACAGACTGGACTTATGGTTTAGATTTCAATTTAACGAGAGAGTCTATTTAACGTTTAACAAGTATTTTGATAGTGCTGCTATCTTCTTCGTGTTGATCTCTGTGTTAGGGTTTATCGAAATTAAGTTAGAAAAGCTACTATGGCTAAAATGGAAGAAGGTTCTCAAAAGGCCGATTTACATAATTTGCCAACTGTAAACGTTAATATGGGTATCAGAATTTTTAGTCAAGTGTTAAGACTTGAATCGAATCTGCCCCAATCCAGTGGAGTAAAATTAAAACAGACGTATTAAATGTAGGTATTGAATAGTTATTTACAGTAGGTACCACTTTTTTCGACTCGGTTTAACTTTGTTATGAGTCTCCCATCATTACACAAACACAGATAATTAGAGTGAATGAAGCTTCTTGGGATAAAGCAATAGTCAGCAACACAATAAATTCAATGTAAACTTGTAAACAAATCTCGCCAACGCGCCAGCTGATTATTCGTTCCGCACAGTGACGTCACAAGCGCTACTCTCGCCGCAAGGGGTCGTTTTGCTAGCCTCGCTAATTTCGTTTTTTTGTTTTCGATTCATTAGAAAAAATGAAGGGTTTCTAGATGTTTTAACGTTAAATACGTGTTTTGTGGACCTAGAACCACCACTTTTTATTAGAATTGAAAAATAGGGAACATTCCTATAGCTGTCTCATTTTTGATTGGTTCTTTAAAATTATATATATTCATATGGAAAACGCCGCCATTTTGTGCCCTACTTTTTGCTAATTATTTTAAATATGAATCTATAGGATTTAAATGGCCATTCATCATTAAAAATTGAAAACAACGTATTTGATGACTATTATTAGGTACCGGGTTATTCACTATATTTTGACTTCCCACCTGCAGCAGTGTAAATACAAAAGTTTTGCAGTTTTAGCTAAATTTTTACAATCCATCGTCAGAAACAAAAAAATATTGTCAGAAATTTGGAATTTTACGTACTTTCATTGTTTTCAAATGAAATGCCCTATATTTGATTCTATATTCTTGAAAAGCACAATTTTTCGATTCCAAAAATATATAGTTGGTCTATATTTGGTTGAGCCGTCTCCAACATATTTGGCTCTAAAAATTATAAAAATACTAGCTAATGACCCGCGGCGTTGCTAGCTAATACACTTTTTTTTTTTCAATTTTTTTTGTTGATTTTCTAAAAGTTTTTTTTTAAAGATCCGGTACCAGAGTCGCTTGCCAGTGAGTTCAGTGTCGCATTTTAAGCACTCCAGAGCTGCTCTAGAGCGCCCCGGACTGTTCATAGACGTCCCAGTGTATCAGAATTTCGCGCAATTGAATTTTTTCGGGATAAAATATAGCCTATATCACTCCCCCCTATAGCCGAATTCGATTGATCGGATCAAATCGATCTGATTCAAGTGAACCACACTGTGTTCGATTGCGGTTGGATTAGTGCACACATCAACAAAAAAATAATCTAGATCAGAAGAAGTTCACTTAAATTGAACCCAAATCGATTTAATCTAGGTCAATGGAATTCGGCTTACATAGAGATACGTGGTATTAAATTCAAGATCGGTCCAGCCGTTCTCGAATTCAAAAAATAATAAAGTTACGTCGGTTGAATGCGCAAGCCTAAATAAATGAAATGTGGCAACGTTGTTTCATGTTGTCAAAAAAAAATTGGGTCATGTTGTTATGTAATGTGAATGAGTTTGTTTATAATTAAATTAATAATCAATTCAAAATTAATTTCTTTTTCCGAGATGCGTAATCTATCCACAAACCTTCTTTGGGATGGCCAAAACAACCTACCAAAGTTTCATCGTAATCGGATAAGTGGTGTAGGAGCGCATAAGTCACAAACAAACAAACATTGATTTTAGAATGGTTCACAAAATCTAAATCAGTATATAGGGTAGTATTTTTACAATTTTTAGTGCCAAATATGGTGGAGAGGGCTCAATCAAATATAGAAAAACTATACATATTTGGAATCGGAAAATTGTGCTCTTCAAGAATATAGAATGAACTACCTATAGGGCATATTCCATTTGAAAAAAGTTGAAAGTATGCAAAGTTTCAAATTTCCGACAATAATTTTTGGTTTCTGACGATGGATTCTAAAAATTTAGCTAAAACTGCACAACTTTTGTATTTACACTCATCTCACGATTATTCGTAAGATTCCACGATTTTGGTCAGAATTTCACGATCTCACGAATGAGGTAGCAATTCTTACGAATTCTCTCTGTAGTAATACAAATACAAATCGATAATTAAATATATTGCTTAACCGAAATGAAAATCTACTATACAATATTTAGCTATGTTACACCTCTGCTGGTGCATGCGCTCCGCGCGCCCAAGAAAACTTAACCTAATAGAGTCCTATTAGCAGTCGCTTATTGAGCTGAAAAGTGAAACTGTCTGCCATGTCAGTCTCAGACCTCAACTCTTGGCGTTAAATGCATTATCCGAGTTTAAAAACACTATAGGTCAAAAAAACGAATTCCTAAACGTTAAAATCACCTTTTCTAAATTTAAAATCGAAGAAAAAATTAAGCACAAGCACAGTCTGAATCGCAAGCAATTCATCGAGGTCTGCGGGTGACGTCACCACTATCAGCAGCTGATAGTGGTGGCGTCACTCGCAGACCTACCGCCGATTCGAGAATTAGCGAACGTACGCCTTATGAGAAATACTGCGGATAGTGAACGTGAAAACGAGGCTCAGCTTCCAGAAATACCTGCTAAAAAACGGAAAATACATGGATACAAGAGATTTAATAATAAAATGTTTATTTCTTATGAATTTAAAATCATGTTTACTTTATCAAAAATCTATAAAAAAATATTATTGTGCTTCATTTTCTTTTACCATTAAGCAAGTTTTAGCCTCACGATTTCTCACGATTTTTCTTTCTCGATTCTCACGAAATTTTTTCATTCCATCTGGCAACTCTGTTTACACCTATCATCTATTTGTAAAGCCAAAGCCTGTAAGTGGGGGGTCAAAATATAGTGAATAATCCTGTATTTTACATCAAATACGTTGTTTTCAATTTTTTATGGTGGATGTCCATTTAAATCCTATAATATTCATATTTAAAAGTTACAAGAGGTAAGGCACAAACTGGCGGCGGGCCTCTATTGTCGCCACTGTATGTAAAGGTTTATTTAGTCACTGTAATTTTTATTTTATTTCGTCGCCATCTATAAATAAGTTTTATAAGTATCAAGTTTTCGACAACTTGTAGGACGTTCTACCCCTGCTTTCTGTAAAACCCAAGAGAGGGCGCTATTATTTGCGTCATTTACGTCATTTTTAAGCATGTACAAAATTTCAAACGAATATGCACGATTTTTCATTGGTTAAAAGTTAATGCACACTTGAACATTTTCTTGGAACAACCCTGTTCATTAACTTGTATTTAAGGTAAAAATCGAATTACCTGGAATTTATACAAGGAGCTATTTTGACTCCAAACCACTCTAAGGAGCTTTTAGTCTTTGCCTGAAACTTAAAGTAACCACTTGCTTGATTGATTGAAATTTGCATTTATTTAAAAAAAAAAACCAGTGACCATGTCGAAAAAATCTCGCCGAACAATTTCAAATTCAAACCAAGAAAAGAAAATCACCAAAGCCGTGGGCCATTCCAAACAATCCAAGATCGAAACCAAAGTTCACGATAAGAATTCGAACATGAAGAAAATCGACAAAATGGACAATTCCATACTATCCAAGCTCAAAGCCAAATCTCGTAGAAATAAATCAAAAGTGAAGACAATCTCTAAAGTCTTTGGCGACAATTCTATACTATCCAGATTCCCCAAAATCGTAAACCATTCGATACTAGGCAAGATCGAAGCCAAAGTTCTCGAAAAGAATATGGACGTGAACCTGCGGGACAGTTTACTGGCATGGAATTTTAACAAAAAGGTTAATGCTCACTTAGAGGCACATGAAAAGAAACTGCTGGAAAAAGGAATTAAACTGACTAGGAAGAAAGTGGAACAGGAAATTGAGAGAATTATGCGGAATGAAATAACGATGATGAAAGCACCACAAAAGTAATTTCGATATTTACCAGTTAGTATTTATTTGAAATTTTGATATTATTTTGTATGTTGACTATACGTCATAATTTAACATGTTATCTGAATGTATAATGTAATTAACTGTTGAATATTTTATAAATATACCTAACTTGATAGAATTTTTGTGCGGTGTATATTTCGATAATTATCTTTACCGCGCAACTTAGCGGCGAAGCACTTGCATATACCCAAGATTCCTTAAGTTAATAGGTTGCCTAGTAATGGGTAACTTGATGACGCATCTGGGGTGCCTTATGGAGATTTGTATTATGTTGGAGGCACCCCAGATGATGTCATAAAGTTATTAGGCAACCTACCTACTCTCAAACAACCTTGCGTATACCATTCTCACGCAAGCTACCTACAGAACAAACAATGTTGCCGATAGTGTCGCGTAATTCGGGTGGTTTGGTGCAGCCCACGTCGCGAGGTTGCCAAAATATTTTTGATGATTTTAGATTGAATTTCGGGCCCCATTGAGCGTCCGGGCCCTAGGCGGCTTCCTAGTCCGCTTAGTGATTAAACCGGCGCTGCTCCAGGTGCACCGCCTTAGTGGTAAAACAGACAAAAATACATAGGTAACATCAAGTAACATTTAACTAATGTTCTATTTTTGGCCTTACCATCTCTGACCATGAAGGGCCCAGCAAAGTTCACTCTAGTGATGTAGAAGGGTCTTTGAGGAGTTAGGCGTGATTTGGGTAAGTTAACCATTCGATAGGAGGTTGCTCTTGGATTTACCTTGAAGCAGATGACACATTTTCGTAGTAGCTTCTGCACTATGCTGCGACCATTAATTGGCCAAGAATTGAGTCTTATTGAAGATAAAGTGGTTTGGGCACCAGCATGTAATAGTTATTTACCTAACAAATGTGGAAAGTGATAGTTTACCGCACGCAACGGCAGTTGACCGAACGTGCGGTAAAGGCACTTTCCGCATGTGTAGAGGTACAAAATTTTACCTATGAGCATCTACATCTCGAAAAAAAGGCATTAATAAAATTGATTAATGAATCAGATTAATTCATGAAATTAGATTAGATTTAGAAATGATCTAAAATCCATTTTCTGAAAAAGAAAGGATTTTTAATCATAAATACCAAAGCCTATTTTACCGCATACTATGCGGTGAAGTTAACTTTACCGCACACTTTGCAGTCCACTTTACCGCATACTATGCTGTAAAGTTAACTTTACCGCACACTATGCGGTAAACCCATGAAATTCTATGATATGAGGATTTGACACAATGATGTGTCTGGGGATTTTAATATCCGCTTCGCGTCGTTCGTATAAATGTGTTTGCGTGCGGAAAAGTAACACTTTGCGCATTTGTTAGGAAAATAACTATTTTCTATGAGTATTGAATAATATGCGTAATATACATCCATTTTCTATTGATAAATGTGAATGACTACTCATGTCTCATACAGTGAGTTTTTTTCATTACTTGAATTATTGTTTTCAACCAATGAAAATATCCTGGTCTCATTACTCCACCATTTAAGAGCCAAACAGAAAATAGACCGATCTCCTATTACCTGGACTGCGCGCGTCGCTTGTAGGCTGCAGGTGAGCGTCCAATGAGAAACAAGTTTGTTAAGGCTTGCGTCATATTCTTATTCAGGGGCCAGTTCAAAATGAATCGTTCCTTTTTTCTTTGTAACGTGTAATTCGACAAAGAGCAAACTAATACTTTACACATTAGTTGAACTCACCGCAGTATCGTTTAAGGTTATGTTAGATTAAACTTGACATATTCCTTTGCAATTTCATTGTGCGATGTTGCCGGATGAAACATTTATCAAAATAAAATTGCAAACGATGTTAACATACACTTTTTAAGCTCTTTTGTCTGATTTAAGGCGTTGTAGAACACTTGACACTATATCTCTTCTTTATTGTTACAATGTTCGATTTGTATTGTCTACATTTGTTCTGCAACAATACAATCTGGCTACACTGCACCTACGAGTTGCGCGCGCATGTCATCTTTTATTACTTTCAAACTTGTATTTATTACAATTGTTGCGCGTAAAATTACCCTTAAACTGTTTGAATAGTAAATTTAAATTAATAAACCACAATAGGCCTAGGTACTGTAAGACACTCTTAAGGAATGCGGCCAGCGCAACAAAGTGCTCGCGGCTACTCAGTGGTGTGGGAGTAGGTTCAATAATAAAAGTTAGCTTAATAGGGCGCCACTGATTTATAAAATACAATCCGCGGACTTAAATCAGAAAGTCCCTGATCTCCAAAATTCCTATAAAAATGTACCTACCCAATGTACCTATCCTTCAAAATAAAACAATTTTACCTTGGTTTGGTTGATGTCAGTAGGAATAAAATAAGAGTCAAATCTAAAAACAATGATTAAAAATCTATTTAATAAAATGGGGGGTATATGTTCAAAACTGCAAAGGCCAATATAAGGCAATATGTAAAATAACACAATATATATTATTATTAATAGTAAAAAAAAACCAAAATGTAGCAAGGACCAATGTGGCCTTATAAAAGACACTGCAATGAATTTAAGATTTACCAATAGATTAAATGTTTGACTACCTTAGTTAAATGAGAGTAAAAGAGAACCAACAGTCATTAAAGATGTTAATAAGAGTAATTAAAACCAGTGCACGCTTATACCATGGTATACCGGGGCGGGTTTGTACAAAAATGTCACCTTAAATATAGTACATTAAAAATCATTGGTACTGTACACCCTTGTAATGATTAAGGCAGTAAAACAACCTTGGAAATATACCAATTAAGTATCAGAAATACCATCAATAATAATAATAAAATAATTTAAGATATGTTATAAAATCAATGGGTACATCACCCCTTTTGGTCCTCCCTGCAGTCTAAACACCCCATTTCTATAACTGTCTCCTGACAGCCCTTACAACCTGCATAACAGACCCCATCAACTTCTATTGACTCCCTTCTTACAACGTGAATTTCGGTCTCAACTCAGTGTTGTGGGTACTCTTGACACCTCAACTTCGAGACTAATAAACCGTCAGAGAGGAAAAACCCACTGGTAAAGATTCTGTAGGCCTCGCTAACAGCCTAACAAAAAAAACCCTGGTTACAATTGGGCTAGTTGAACAAATGTGCTCTAGTGCTTCACACGACAAACCAACAAAATGGCGTAGATTTCGGTTCCAGAAAATTCTGTGTGGTTGGCTTACAAATACGGGTACGACCAAATCCAAAGCTTTCACCCCAAAACCAATTAAGCCAGCAACCACTAAATCCCAGCGTCTTCAAATCCCACAAAAAGGTGGATGTTCCCAAGGAACGTTGCCAAAAGGACCGCTGGTAAAATCTGCCAAAAACTTGTTGTTTGCTCAACGTGCGAATTTAAAAGAGAACGATCCCTTTTCAGCGATTTATTAGGTAGGCTTCAATATGAAAAATTTTCTAGAATTCCAGTTTTTTTTTTCCTTTAAGATGTCCTTTGGTGCCAGATTTCCGATCTCGACCAGGAAGACGGAACACCCAGTTTGAATCGGAACACAATCACCTTGAAACAGAACACTCCGAACCACAATGATGACCCACAAACCTCCAAGTTGTTATCAAATTCTCTCCCCTAACACCAATTAACACTAATTAATCACTTATACAAGTTATTAATCGCATCTACTTAGTCTTCAGTCTAAAAACCATCAAAAAGACCGGTGAATGTTTAGGGATCACAGTTACAGTGACTCTATATTACCCACAGCGTTCAAGTACGCCGGCAACGGTGCTCCCGAAACGAATCAACAAGTGGCATATAACCCCACAATATTCTTGGAGGAAAACAAACTTTTGAAAATGGGAAAAGTAAAGGAAATAAGGGTGGAAAATCGATTTAGAGTGTGCTAAAGTGATTTGTGTTGTTGCAGAAATTTTAATAAAGGAAAATACGAGATCCGTAAGTGTTGACAATTGATATTTATTTGAAAGTAAACAAACCTTTTCACCGACATTTAGGGCCTTTTAGAAAACTTTCGAAAGCTAAATAAAGTGAATTCCTATCCTACCAGTAGGGCTTTATTATCTTGAAACTACCCTGTCCTCTAAATACAAAGAATTCCCCTCATTATTACCTTGAAAAATATACCTTTAATCAACACCCAGATATTGTTTTGCATCCAACCAAAAGGCAAAAATCTAGCAAAAATTCAATGAGCAACCTATCAATCACTGAAAAATATTAAACCTCAGGTATACAGCTTTATAAATATTCTCACAAATAACTGAATTAATTACTGAATTTATTCGAAATTCTCAATTACGTTAAGGCAAAATTTTAACGTAACACAATTAAGCTATCTTTTTCTATTTATGCGAAACAGGTCAATTTCACAAGTTGACAACATACTTCAACCTTCCAATCGGTAATTTTGACAGCTGATTTGGACAAGACTTGTGCTAACCTAACCTCAAGCTGTCAGAATTGTCAATTATTTTTCACAGATTATTTTTGTTACTGAAATTAAATGAAAAACCATATTATCTATTATTCATAGAAAAAGTATAGTATTCTACTCGTGGGTAATGGCTATCACTCACTCAGATGATTACACTATTCGCCTGCGGCTCGTAGTGCAAACTTCATCTTTCGTGAGTAATAGCCATCATTACCCGCTCGTTGAATAATATACTATTATTGCATTTTTGAATTTATTTCTTATTTGACATATCCTAAGAAATAAAAGGCCCCCTTTGCCCCTCCCTCCTAGATACGCCCTTGTTCTTGATTGTTCCATCCCACCCCATCAGTATTTGCAGCAGCTTCAAAATGTCGAATAGAGGCGCCGACTACGTGGGTGCTCGGGGGCTCGAGCACCCACGAGACCTAAACAGTGGGTGCGAAGCACCCACGAGCATAGACTTAAAAACTGATAACCTCTTTCGTAAAGCCCTCCATTAATCTATTTTCAAAAGGCTCTTACCCTGAGATGGCACTTTATTATATCCCTTCACTTTCTTGAAAACTAAAGAATATTTAACCAATTCTTGCATTTGTATTCGAATTCGTCAATTTTGGGGTTGGCCCGGGTCAAATCCCCAAAATTTCAGATCAAAAGCGCCGCCGATCAAGAGATTTTCCCACGGTATC